ACACTACATGTCATCTTTTACCCATTCACACACTCATGGCAGGAGCTACCATGCAAGGTGCCACCTGCCCATCAGGACTCTAACTAATCATTCATACCTATTGACACACTGCAGACACAGCTTGTAGGAGCAATTTCTGGTTAAGTGTCTTGCCGAAGGACACATTGACACGGAATAGCAAACTGTGGTTACACATCACAATAGAGATCATATCAAGCCCAAACAGGCAATTCAATTTCACTACCACCCCTCTACTAATTAACGCATGGTACCTCCCGGAACTATAAAATGGGGCTCATGTACCCTGGGGACTCTTTTAGGCCGAACACCCTGGAGAGCAGACACTGTGATTTGAATATGCATGTTATTCGACAGCACTATTAAACAACAGTTGATATTCAATCCTTTTGGTAAAGATAACCAAACCAATAATATGTTTGTATCTCCAGACCCGACCTTCAACAACTATACCTGAGAACATCAGAACCACAACAGTACAATAAAAGATTCAACTCTTCCTGCGTGTGTCTCTCATTGTCTTGAAACAGTCCACAAATGCTTGTGATGGAGAGGGTCTTCATTACAAGGTCTGTCCCTCAAATTGCTGGGACAGTTAAAAACCTCTAGGCCAACTATGGGGTCACAAGATGACGATGTTTTCTGATGACGCTTTTAACCTTCTGAGAAACGGATGAAAAGAGAATAATCAAGACAACAGGCTGTTGTTTACGAGGACGATTATGTGGTAAAAGGCTGTTTCTGTCTTTTTCCACAAAGCTAAGACAAACACACTTAACATTCTTTGGTCATAACTCTTTTTTGCGGAACCAAGAATGTCACAACCTGCAACACCAATAACGTGATCTAAATGCTTTAATGCAGATTCAATTCAATTAATTTTATATAGCCCAACATCACAAATTTGCCTCAGAGGGCTTTACAATCTGTACACATACAACATCCTCTGTCCCAGGACCCTCACATCAGAACAGGAAGAACTCCCCAAAAACCTTTAACAGAGAGAAAAGAGGAAGAAACCTTTAGAGAGAGCAACAGAGAAAAACTACCAGACACTAAAACAAGAATTATTACTGAATTACTGAGCGCAGATCCACAATCTGAAAGAAGGATATTGAAGGCAGCGAAAGTGCATTTCACACAAGCCTCCCACAACGGTTCCTCTCAGAATTATTTTTTGTAACTTTCTATTGTGTAGACTCTATCTGGTCAGCCTCCTTCATTCATAACTGTGTGTGTGTGTGTGTTATATGCCCCGTGTCTTTTTGAATTGCTCTGATTTTGACATATCCTCAACTTGCGTGTTTTAACATCTTTTGCTCTGTCTCTTCATTGCTGTGGTAGTGTTTATTGCCATTTGATATTATCACCTTTCCATATTGACTTTTCTTAAGTTAGGGTACATGTCCCCTTTTTCTTGTTATCACACGTGTTCTCTTGTTATGGCATGTGAGTCCTGTGGTATTCGAGTTGTTCTGATTGATCTCTGGGTACTGTACAAGGTACATATTTTGTGTATATATTGTGTTTTATCTAGGGAGTGCATTGTTACTATGCACTATATGTCGGTTATATACGCAGCAACAGTTACTTTGTTCACTAATGTGCTGAGTATTTGATCACTATATTGTCTGCGCTGTAATGGATTTATTTAATAATTATTTTTTATCCAATAATATTGTTACAATTTTCTTTTTTCTTGCTATTGTATATTAAAATAATATTTTATATTTTATATTTCATTTTTGCCATCCCAAATTATCATATAATTCATTCTTTGTATGGCTAGTGCTCTTATTTGCGACTCGTGCTTTGTATTGCTGAGCTGACCTATTCTCTTGTGAAATGCATTTTAATTTACTGTTGACTCAACATCAACCTACACATGACTAATTAAGTCAAAGTGAAACTGGTTCATACGCGATGCTGTAGTCGTATGATGTTCAAGTTGTTCTGACACGAGTGTATCTCTTTAAAGTGTACTATAGAGATTTGTGCGTGTCTTGCGTATTTTAGTGTATTTTCTAGATTTTCACCATGCATTATGTTATTTATACACACAGTCACACAGTTAATGTTCATTCATGTGCTGAGCATATTATTATGAGATTGTCTGCACTGATGTGTAATTTGTATGTGATGAATCAATGTTTTCAATCCAAGGGAGCTGATTAGGACCCGGTGACCTGTCAGGTGACCTGTCAGGTGACCTGGCCTCATATGAATTTGAAGGTATAGCTCCGTATTAAATTCATCACTCGGTGGTAATTAAATATTTCTTCATGGAAGCATGATCGTGCGTGCGGACTCATTTCTTGCATCATTAGCAATAAACACAAAGTGCAGCCGAAGCTGGTGGGAAAGTCATTGTTTTTTCAGCTGTTTGATCATTTACCACATGGTATTGTACAAATTAAACATGTTACCTGCTGGCTCCAGATGACAAATCAAGTAGTCACCAAAGTTATTATAGTACATCCTTCACAATCAATCTCTTTTCAGGATCAAATCACTCAATTGATCAGTTCATTATAGTAATTGTTTGATTAGATGATAGTGAAAATAATCATTACATGCAGCCATATTTTTGAAATTACTGGTGAATTGGTATAAGTTATGATATGGAGATTTGGCCAACAGTGAGACAAAGTAATTCAGAGTAATGTCATTGCGACATTAATGGGGGTTTCCATGACTCTGTGACCTTTGATCACAACGTTAAGGCTTTATGAATACAGCCCCTGATGTCTGGCTTATTTACTATTCTGGTGGTGATGCATAATGATTGGACTTCATCTCCAATTTTGCCCTCATCAAACCTCAGTTGACCCTCTTCTCATAATTACACCATCAATCAATTACCTTCATCCCCACCATGCAATCGTCATTCACAGCAAAGCAAACACAATACATCATATTTCCTAGAGATTTGTTACCTTGAACAGCTGTAATGCATTTGGAGGAAATCACTTGAGGTAAATGTTGAATCGATTAATCCCCCTGCTTGTTCCGCTAATCAGCATTCAACCCTGTGCAGCCACCATAACTGAACTCTGATATACTGTATTATTGAAGAACAGAGGGGCAGTGACAGACCCAGAAATCTGCAGGCAACTGTAGCCGAGACATATTTCTCATAATAGTAATTATAGATTTGGCAGCAGTGAAATATATTCCATACTACGTGATGCAATTATTAACAGCAGTCTGCTGCAATACGTTTTAATCTGTTTTCATACACTACTGCTGCAGCTAATGCCTGAACATGTCCTGATCATGTCCACCATCAAAGAATAAAAATAGGTGTGACATGAAATATAGACATCTACGCTGTATCTCACCTACAGGAGTACTTACTGTAACTATTCAATTCTAGATCTTTGCCCTATAATGTGAGGAAAGACTTAATTAATCAATCTGTGTGAATTCAATTGACTCTTTATTTGCCTCGATTTTTTATTATCATTTGGCTGCAGTGTTGTCAGAGCAGGAAACAGCAACTTCAAAAAGGAGGGGGTTAACGACTAGCCATTTGGTACCGGGCCGCACAGAAAGAATAAATAACTTATATTATTTCCGTTTTATTGATTATCAGAGTCTGAAAGATGTTTTATTTTGAAAAATGACTGGATTCTCTCCCAATTTCATCCGCCTGAGCCTCTTGACATGTCAAGACGCTCGTCTCGGTCACGTGATACGTTACCTCAAAAGTTAAGCCCGCAAACTAGAGAAAATTAGTAAATAACTTTTGGAGAGCTTCTTTGCAAAGGGGGAAAGGCCACTAAGGAGACAGAAGAAGAGCTACAGCTTCCAAGAAAAAGAAAGCTTCATTTAACAGACAATATCAGGAGTCTGATTAAATATCAGGAGTAATTCTGATGCGCCAAACCTGCTCTGCAGAATATGTGGCGACAGAGGAAGATCAGCTGCTGGAGATTGTAAATGACGGTGGCCTTAAAAGTATGTTTGAGACAACAACTCTGCTGGTGTTTTGGATTAAAATCAAGGCTGAATATCCTGAGATCACCACTAAAGCACTGAAAACCCTGCTTCCATTTCACACATCCTCTTTGTGAAGCGGGATGTTCTGCAGTGACAGCAATCAAAACAGGACGGAGTAGACTGGACATCAGGAACAGACTTCGGGTGTCATTGTCTCCCATTACCCCCAGATGGGACCGTCTCGTTGCAGAGAAACAAACTCAGGGCTCCCACTGATTCAGCGTTATTGTGAGTTGTATTCTTTATGCATTTTATATTTGTTTTCATGCCGATCGTATCATTTTATTTCGTCGTGTTTATCCACCACACCTTGAAGGCCGGTCCATGAAAATATTGTCTTACATGAAACCGGTCCGTGGTGCAAAAAAGGTTGGGGACCTCTGGTGTAGAGGGCTCCGCCTGTGCTTATAGAACTGGGGTTACAATATCGTAAACTTAACCACTGTGAAACTAGAGACCACAGAGTTACAATAGAACTACAGAAAAACTCATTCTCCCCTCAGTGTAGAGCCCACTCATGTGGCACATGAGACACATGGTTTGTACATATAATCATTCAAGTCCAAACCCAAGGGGCAGATTATGCTCCTTCTACATCAGCACTGTATATAAGGTCACATGTCTCCTTTGAATGTTGTTGAAAGATGCCTATTAACAGTTGGCTTATATTTGGTTTATTAGTATGTGCCTGTAAATACACTACGCTTTGTTCCTCAACAGTCCTGGAAACCTTTGGCCAAGAGAGGATTGTCTTCAGATAACATATTGTTGCTGAGAGAGATATCCAAATGGGATACGCCTTTTGATCCAATCTCAGATGTTCTGCTCCCTGTTGATGGATGGAGGCATGAATGAGTGTCTACTGTGTTTGAGGCTAAGCTTTGAATTCAGAAAGGTGGGCATGCTGTTCACATCTCTAAACTGGGTTGCATGAAAAGGAAAGCATGAACATATCATAAGTTAAGCTTTATGAATCTTACGGCTGCTGCTGTGGTCATCTACCAGTATGATCTCTTTGAGCAGGTGTAACGGCGTCCTCTGGATAGCTGTGTGGACAGAGCGCAGCAACACCGACAAGGCCTCATTAACGAAGATGAAGATGACACTGAGCTGAGGAAGATCTGAGGAATACGACATGTTTCTGCACCTGGGGGACAGAGAGAATCAGAGTTCTTCTTTGAATAACATTATTCCATTTTAGGTGAAATACTGCCATCAAACATCTTGATGAATGAATCAATAGAGTACACATCGATCCACTGACTGACCCGTCCGGTCGTAAATCCGGGATCGGCCGCGTGAAGGAGATACGGTCACTAAGGTAGCCATTGTAGCCATAGTAACGGAACTTCCTGAGGGCGACCCTTCGACTCTCGGGGCCCAGGTCGTGACCCCAGTGGTCGAACAGTGAGGAGGAGGAGGCCGAGTCTGACGAGGACGCAGCGTCTTCACCGTCCTTCTGAGGGGTCTCTGTGGATAAAGAAGGAGAGAGGTTGATGTACTTTGGAAACAGTGTATTTTGAAGAAACATATATTTTGAATTTTTCTCCAGACCCACCACCACTGTGCTGTCACATACTGTGAACCGACTGGATATGGAGCAATTTAATGACAAATGAACATCCCTCAGCAAAAAAAAATACTAAGTATGATGTTTGGTTGTTAAAGAAAATGTGTTTGCTGAGGGCTGAAAGAACCATTTCAGCAGCACGGAGGATAGAACAGAACTGTGATGCGCCTTAACAGGGATTTTCATTTTTACAAATAACTCATTCTGGCAGTCATGTCGATCTATTTCTGCAGAGGTGGACACAAATCCGCTAACATGCCCAAGGTAACATTTTCTTATCAGCACTGTAGCTTACCGTTCTGTGCTACATGAGCACCAAGGAGCCATTGTGACAAACAATGAGACGGAAATATGCTCGAGGCATGTTTGGAAGGGAAAAAAAACAGAAACGTTACTTGGTGGTTTGAAATATTTGCATTTAATGTGAATAATTGCATGCAAATAGACAGAGAGGTTGCACTCATTCTAGCTCATGATGATTCATAACAACAATGTGGAACGATGCTTTGCAGCTTCTCTGTCACCTGTTCTCTCCAAGTGGCAGATTTGTGGCAAAGAAGCTGCAGAATTTAAAAGTAGTGGTCTGCTGTTTGTCCGAACCAAGATCAACTGAGTGCATCAAATATTCACGAGTCTGAGACATTCAACAATGTCCGACCCTGGTGGGGTGATGAAGAGGTGCAAAGTCAAGAAACACAGAGTGCTCAGGAATCAAAAATAAAGTTTGGAATTACAGTATGAGACTCAACTTAAATGATTAAATAGTGAATTCTATATTAACTTTCACAACCTCCTCTAAATGTAGAATTTTTCTTCCAAAATAAATTGGAATTTTTTGTGTTAAATCATTTAGAATATAAAGTTCAACTTCAAAGATCGACCCTGGACAAAACAAATATAGCGGGCGCCATCACTGCAAAGAAATTAGTACATCTTCTTTTTAGTAATTACAATTTTGACAAAAGTGCACACGTCAAAACCAATACCTGGGAAATATATACAGATTTCTTAGCAGAAATACCTTTAATTCAGTTGGACTTTAATGTTCTGGCTCACGTCCGTCACACATTGCTTTCTTATTTTCTCCTGCCTTTCAGACAGGCCTGCTGAAGGACTGTGAAGTGCCTCCTCTCCTTCCTGAGCTGAATAGGTTTTGTATTATTTTGAAGAGCAGTACTTCCCCTTTTGGCAATTACATGATTAATGCTCTCGTGGGTGGAATGCCACCTTCATCCAAGTCCCTCCAGAGCCTTACATTGAGCACCCTAAAAGCACTTTACACTTTTCTTGGCCACAAATGCAGCTAAGATTTTGTTAAGATTTAAGTCGCCTCATCTGAGCACCTTTTTTCAGTTAACTTCTTCTGAAAGAAAGAGTAATGTTGGTTGAAAAAAGCCATTTATGTTCTCTAAAGCTTTTAGTTCGTGCATTGAGCTTTCTAGCACTGGAGGACAGCAGCAATGAGATCGCATGCTTTGAAAGGTTTCTCAGCGTAGTCAGATTGTGGAGAGGACAGATGTATCATAGAGCAACTACACCGTGTGTGTGTGTGCGTGTAATACAGTAGTGTATGTGTAGGTGCAGCAGGGAGAGTGTGTTTTGCTGAGGACTATCAGGAACAATTTAATTAGACTAAGCTATGAAAAACAAACTGAGCACAATAGCAGACTATTGTCTGCTACATTATGTTAACAGTACTGAGTGTGTGTGTGTTGGCCTTATTGAAAGGTCAGGTGAACACTCTTGTCAATGCACTGCTTTGTGAACTTTCATTCACATTATCTTTCAAAGGCATTTGCTTATTTCAACATGTGAAAATGTTAAACCATTTCAGTGATCGCACAGAGAGAGCTGACACGCACGTCATCAAGATAGATGAGATTGTGCATATTTGGACAAGGAAAATGCCGTGTCCAGCGAGCAGGAGAGGAAAGAGCTTCCCTAAGGGATGACACGCCTAGTGAAATTGAGATGGCCAGGAGGGAGAGTAAAGCTTGTTACTGAGTCTGAATGGAGCCATTTATTCTCTATGCAATGGGTCACTAACCGGCAGACCGCGGTCCGGACCCAGATGCCCCTGTATCCCTAGACCCTTGACCTACAGCGACAAACAATTGAGAACTATAGAACTTTGACGGAGCACTTCCACTTTAACCAGCACAGATCCTCCAGCCCCCACGGCACTCGTTCAGCGGTCCAGGAAACATACCAACAAGTACACGCATTGCACATCATCTCACGTGATGTTCCTCAGCCAATCAAACATTGGCTGAGAGATGAGAGACCCTACAGGAGAATTACATGAGTCAGAGAAGTCATTACACATGCGTTCCCCAAAAGAGGAATGTGGACAGCCCAACCAGAGCCCCAAACCACTAATGGACTGACTCTTAAATGTTCATTCCTCCCACGGCAGTTAACACCAGGTGTCTCATAATATCCAGAGACCGCAGCGACTTTCCAAAAGCAACAAGGTGAAGCGCCACTAGGAGACAAAGCACAAATCTTTTGAGCAAACCACCCACTAAATCCAAAATGAAGGCACAGAACACAACCAACCAGTGACTGCAGGGTGGAGATGGCGGCATTTTCTAGATTAGAGTGCCAGGAGTTGCTGGGGGAGAAAAAGTACGGGACGCGATGTTCTTCCTGCTCGCCTGCGGAGCTCAGGATGAACCCGATCCTTCCGGCGCAGCCACCGGCGATGCATTATCTGCACTCACTCTGAGATAATCTTTCATGGATCTTGTTGTCATGTGAAGTGCATGTAACTGTTTGAATACTATATTTTCCAATATCTTGCTAAAAAATGGCAGGTTGGCCTAAAATTGCTCAAAACAGACGAGATTATGCAGTTTGAGCGGAGGCTTGACTAGAGCTGTTTTGAGTGCATCTGGAAGATGCCGGTCTCTAGAGAGCAATTTAAAGAAATCTAACATAGAAAACCACTGTCCAAAACCTCCACCCTCATCCCACTCTGACGGCCCGCCGGCGGGCCGTCAGAGTGTTAACGGCATATTTGTGTTATGTACACAACTGCTCTGTAACGATGAGTATTAATGTGATATCTCATTAGAAAGCTACGGTTCTTGTAATTCGATTTATGCAAACCATTTCAAGATACAATAACAACAGCAGGTAGAGTTAACGTCTCTGTCAAACAAGCACTCCAAAAATAGCTGATAAAATATCGCCATGACTCACCGATTATGATTCATAACGTCCCCCTTGTGCATGCTAGTCCAGCAAAAACGGTCTTGCTAGGTGGCTAAGGGTCCACTCGATCGAATCCAGTAAAAGATTTAGTCCAAAACACATTAGTACGTCCATAAAGACCCACGGGGGGCTGTTACATCATTTCAAATTAGCCAGCAGATATGATAACTCGCGATCATATTTCGGTCATAATTTCACTTTTCATGTCAACAGAACGGAGATTTTCATCACAAAATGGAGCCTGCATTCCGCCGGTTAGATTGACACCTCAACCAACGAGAGTCCGCTTTGAAAGACAATGCCCGCTTCTCTTCTTTGAGTAAAGCTAGAGCCAATCGCAACCCATTGAATCTCAGGCTCCATATAGCCAATGAAATTACGAAGACAAGGATATACAGATTTATCACATGGCCCTCTGGGAAAGTTTTCAAAACTGCAATTGAAACCGTGACTGAGGTACCTGAGACAGATTATCAAGAGCAAAGTCTGGTTCATGAGAATTTTCAAGAATCTGTGAAAGTTGATAATGGTTAAACATGTTATAGTTAACCATACATCGACATAAATAAACTGTAGTTTGAATTTCGGACTCGTAGTTTATCGTAGTATATGCATTTTGACGTGGTGACGCGAGCCTCCAAATGCGTTTTTACGCGGCTGCACTCTTAGTAAACCAAGTGTAAAATATTAATTTTCCGTCGTATTGTTATCAAATTCTAACTTATACCAGGTACCATGACTCCATGGTGACGTAGTGTTGTGTTTTCCAGGTCATAAGTCCCAGCCATAGATAGCTGCTGCCATCTGTTGGCCAAAACAAATCCAGGTGGAAATAAAATCCTTCTCTTTCACTGTGCTGAAAACTGCATAGCTCAATGCTAATAGCACTTACAGTGATTCTGACTGATTGTGAAGAAACTTCAGAGTGTTACCTTTCAATAGAGACTAAAACCATACATGTACTCCCAATGGTTCAATAAGAGCTGTCAGTTTACTTTGGGTACGCGGTTGATAGGCGTTTTAGGCAAATTTTAGAGGAGTGAGAAAAGCAAATAGTGGGAACTGCATCTCGGGAGCAAGTGGAAATCTTCAACTGCATGATTCACTTATTTTACAAAAAGAAGTCAGATTTTTTTGATTGTCAAAATCATGTGCAATACATAATCCCTAGCCTTGCAGTCTCAATGTGCTAATTCAAATAATCCTATAATTGGAGATTAAGTACCATTGGAGGTAGCCAGAGAGACATTTCATTGCCAACCACTGCGACACTGTAATTATAGCGCATGTGACAAATAAAGAACTGGAACTTGAACTGACAGACCAGCTGGTCGTCCACACAAACAGAGGACCTCGGGTCACCGTGGCAGCATCCAGACTGCGTTGTGATGGTAAACACTGGCACTTAGTCCTGCGATACCCTCGTTGGGGATAGGAACTTGGCTGCTTGTCAATGTCCGCTCGGCTGTGATTATGCACAGAACACACGCATGATGCACACGTGATGGTTCAGGGAAAGAGAGTGAGGTGTACAGTGTTGGAAATCATTTTTTTCTCACAAAAACAATGAAAAGTATATTAGCAGCATTGAAAATAAGCTTCATAAATATGAACTCTCGTCAAAAAAGCCAGAAAAAGCCGGAGGGGTTAGAAGAGCGACAAAACAAAAGTAGTGACATGATGTGGAGGGAGGTGTGAGAGAATGAGGAGAACAAGAACTAAAGGGATTCATCCCTGGGCACCTCGGAGCTCTGTCAGATCAGCTTGCAGAGACACACTCTTTTATCGGCTCAGACACCAAGATAGCTCCCTGTACACACACACACACACACACACACACACACACACACACACACACACACTTCTTTCCAACCAGATAGATAGATAGAAGTCTCCTGATTGAAATAAGGGTTAGCTAAAGCTCAGTCAGGGAGACTCTCTTTACACTTTTTCATTCATTCATTCCCTCTGTCTTTCTCTTCTGCTTCTATTCTATCTTGTCATTTCAGTAAGAACCAATGCAACCCTCCTCCACCCCGATCACTTCTATTCCTTATTATATCTAGTGCCCAGTCCTGCTCACATCCCATCATTAGATCTTCAGCAAACTCCCTTCACCACCACCACCAGTGTCTGGACTTTGTGGGGGAAATGAATATATATATATATATATATATATATATATATATATATGTATATATATATATATGATTGTCTGTCTGCCTGAAGTATGTTCATGCTGCTGTAACACCCGCTCCTCCACTACCGCCTTGTTTTCACAGATACATCAGCTTCATCAGCCTCATAAGCCACACCAATCTAAGTAGAATCATCATCGTCAATGAAGAGGTGATACAGATGTCCTTTGGATCAACAGTAACACGTACAGGCCTATTGGTGTGGAGGGGAAATGCTTATGGGTTGTTGCAATGATTCTGTGCTGCATCTTGATTAGGGAGCAGAACTTCCTGCTCTGCTGTGAGTCAGCATCACAGATGCTCCAGCATCTTCTTATTCTTTTTAGAAACCTTTTTTCACCTTTCTGTAATGATGCTGACCTAAATTCAGCTAGTTTCCAAAGGCTCACAACAAAACACTCTCCATGCAGTACGTCACATTCGAGCACATCAAATTCTAGGAAATTGAATGTTGTGGCAGAAAATATGTAAAACACATCCTGTTTGCATTCAGCACTTGTTTTGACAAAGTGAAAGCGTGGAGTGTGTTTTCATCCTCTGCATTGAATCACACAGTGGAATCAGGAATCTGTTTATTCAGCCCCATTGATGTACGTGTGGGATAAAAGGATGCACATAAACTGCTTAAAATGATCAAGACCTCAAATGGGACATGAGCCCGATTTGCAAAACACAGTGTGGATGTAAAAACATTCAATTAGACCACCTCCTCCTTGTACTTTCAAGTTACTCATCAGCCCCACATTAAAATGCTTGCTGCTGCTGCTGCTTTGCACGAACCTATCCCAGCAGGCTTTGCACTTGTAACACAAACACACACCCACTCACACCTGAGGATTTGAAAGAATTTGTTTTCGTGGAGAAAATCTCATTTGCTCTGCAAACCCTGCAAGATTATCTCCCTCTGAAAGCTTTTTGTGTTCCAATATTTAAAGAGGCAAAAGAGAGAACACAGGCAATTCATTTGCCTTTTGTAGCGACTCCCAGCCACTTCAAATCACACAGCGGCTTCTTTCATATCAGAGCAAGCGATGACAAAAGTGCTTTTTTCAATTGTTTGCAGTCTGTTTGATTGCGTTGCCACGAGCACGCTCACACAAAAGTTGTTTGCAAAATGTTGTGCTGCTTCCAGCTGGGGCAAAAAGTGAGCCCATCTGCACTTCCTCTCAGTAAATGAAATGAGCTTTTGCAAGTTTTGTGCTGCTGCTTCTTAGGGTACAATGACACTCTCATAAGCTACTGACATGTGCGTGGCAGAGAGTAAGAGATGGGGGCCTGCAGCCTTGTGCAGAAGTTCACACATGATTCATTTAATCAAGCAGCGAGCAGATGTAATCTCTGTCTTCTTCCCAACCCTCAGGTATGAATAATGTGCTTAATAGCTCACACCTGGACAGGACCAGGACACACCCACAGGAAACTAGAAGATGTGTTATCGTAACTCTGCTGGCTTCATGTCTGTTAAAGAAACAGTGTGTTATATTTAAGGGAATCTTTTGCTGTAGCCTCTTTAAGGTTGAGCCGCTTTGAAAGTGTTACAGAATTGTTACTCAGTCTAAACCACTTTTACAGAAACAGTGATTAGCGGGCTTGAGACATGAGAGTGACGGGTAGAATTGCATTGTCTTGTTATAAAGTGCATGTCTGAAAGCAGTCATTCAGCTGCTGAGTTCTCCAAAGAAGAAGCACTAAAATTCCAATCTGCAATTTCCTTGTGCAAGCTGACTTATCTCAATCTGTACTCATGGGCTTTGATGAACCTCACCTTGTTGTTTAGTGAGCGGAATAACGCAGTGTTTTGTCCACCTGGTCTTGTCTTTCTGTTGTCTCTCCAACACAAAGCTGCAGATTAAGGATCAGAGAGGCATATTCCATTGTCAAGACGTTTCCTTTACCACACTAACAAGCTTTTAATAATATCAGCCATCATTTTCTCTCCATCTTGCTGTTGTCATAGTGTGATGGTCTGTACAATGACTGTCATTCCGACTGCCTGCCTCTCTTTCTCTCCGTACAATGTGTGTGTGTGTTGCAGTTTGGCCTCAAACATTAACCATCATGGCTCTCAGGAGATACACACATATGTCTGCACACTCACTTACACACAGGAAGAAACAAGACACATGGAAGAAGCACACAGGCATCATGGGCAGCATACATGATGGGATGCTAATCTATGTCGTGATCACAGTTTGGCTGCTGTTTGAATTATCCAAGTGGCCCTCTTCCAGAAATCAATACAGATTGAGTGGGTCTTCCTGTACATCCATATGGCTCTCTGCTTCTCCAATTACATTACAGCACTACTGGTAAGGCTTTGTTGTCTCATACAATGTAACTGCTAAAACAGGCATTTCTTAGAGGGAGAGAAAAAAAACACAATAAAACGAGATCAGACAGACAAAATGAGGTTCTCTGTCCAGGTGAGATGAAAGAGTGCAGAACATGCACACGTGAGGTGTATGTCTTTGTTTACAGCAGTCAATGTTCCCGACTGAGGGACATCTGTGATTGCGTTATCAGTTATCCGGATGCCTTTTGGAGCAGAAGCCAAGAAATGAAACTGGTAAGATTTGAAAATGTAATAACT